ATTTTAACTTAGCACTTGTTCACTGTCACTTAATATGTTTCTTTAAACAGGTGCTTTAAATTTTTTTTTTTCTGCTTCAATTCATTAGGCAATGTGGTTTTGCCTTAAACAACATTATCGAGGAAAATATAGGTTTAATATGAAATCTAACATATCTTCCTAGTAATCTTAGAAATAAATATATAACTAATAATATAAAAATAAAATGTGTGGGTACCCCCTAAAGTGAACTCAGGTGTGACTTTTAGGAGCAAACGGTCTAGGGCAACATTTAAGGATAGGGAATCAGGGTTCAGGCTGGCTCCACTCTACTGCATAACTGAGTCTCAGTTTTCTCATCTGTAAAATGGGAATAATAAAAATGGCACAGTTCAGAAGCTAATCCACATAAATACCTTAAATTATTTTGCAAAAAAAGTAAATAAATACTCAGAAAATGTCAGCTATGATGTGATGGCTATGATAATGACTGATGATGAAAATCATAATTGCTTACACTGGCAGAACAAAAACTAAAGCAACAATTTTTTTTTTATTTTAAAATATACCTTAAGATCTCCATTTACTTAAGAACATATACTTTATATATGAAATTACAAGATGGCTATTCTGTATTGCTTTAATGCAAGTTCACTTTGACCCTATTCAAATGTGATCACAGAAATCAGATTTTGCCTAAAAATTTCAGTCTAAAAATAACAGTTACCTGTGAAAAAAATATTTAAAAACCTTAACATGATAATATATAATATAGGTCCTTCTTTCCCAGAAGTACATTAAAATAAATTTACTTATTGCACATACATAAAAGCTTTAAAAATATCAGTTGCTGTATTAAAATGTTTTACATGGAGAAAAAAATTAGAATTCCTGACATTTTAACATGGTGTTACTCTTCATCAGCCATACACTGAAACCTCAGGGTGAGAAAAGGGCCAGACCAATGCCGAAAGGTTTCAAATATCAAACTATACTATTATGTCAGTGCCCTAAGATCAATTAGCACCTTTCAATGATAGAAAAGGTTACAGTGAGAGTTAGAGGTACACATTCTGCAACTGTTTTAAACCACTGTTTTAAATGTGGTTCTGATAACTTAAAATGGTTTCTATTTTTAAATTCATCTGTTTCATCTCTTCTTCTGGAAAAGGGAAGGAGTTAGGGGAGTAAGGGTAGTGATATTTATTTTCAGTACCACTCTCCTAGTAGAAACCTAGATGGGACTTGGTAAGAATCACAAACTTCAAGAGAAAAACAGTATATCACCAAAGCATAGCCTATGTGCCGAGCCACAAGCAATATTAGGTGACAGTAATGTTTACAAAGTCTGCAAACCTCTTAAAAGCAATCAGAGTTGCTTATACTACTTGGGAATATGTGATTCTTGTTTATTTTCTTCCACTCAAGTTCAAACTAAGTGAAGCCAAGTTCACTCTGCGTACAACTTAATCTTCAGTGTCCCCCACGATAAAACTCATCTAACTGCAAAATGCAGTCTCACACATACTGCAATTAAATCCACCACTGTACCTCTCACCCATCTCTAGAACGAGTACCTGAAAGAACATGTCATTTCTTAGCTCACCGGGAAAAATTCATGAGAGGAGCAGGTACACTGAAAGTCATCCTATTCCTCTTGGTGTGGATTGCATTCACCTAGTAACTGCTGTAATAAAATCCCCAGTGGTATTTCTGAATACAATTAGTTTAAGATACTCTACAAGGAGACACTTTATAAGAGTTTAGAATATGTAAGACTAATATCCACTTGAAAAAGAAACTGTCATGATTATATTATATACTGAAAAAATAACAAATGTTTGATACATGTTTTGCTCTGCTCTTCAATGAGAGGATTCAGAACATCTACTTCTGATAACACACTCTTCTATTTGTTTCTTAGATGAGTGATCTGAAATATTTACAACCAGACAGTACCTAATTTTAGGTTTTAAGTGCTTTAACAGCTCCATGAAATATGACCAGCAGCTGCAATACAGGACTATGGTGAATAAACTTCTTATAAAGGAGGGCCTGCTTATACTGAATGTTCAGTGTTCCTGAATTTACCTAAAAGAGGGGGAAAAGATAATGAAAAATAAAATAAATACTTGCACTATTAAATTACTTAGCACTTCACTAAGCCTTGAAAAGGATTATTTCCCCTCTTCTTGAATTCTGCAAAAAAATGTCAGCCTCCACCGGGTAAAGTAAGTGAATCTGCAAGTCAGAATGTGAATTTCCCAACATCCTAGCTTTTCATAACAGTCATGGGTTTTCTACCATTCTACTTTTCTAAAACTTCAGGCTAATTTCATTTCAGTGCATAAAATGTTTTAAAATGAAATACCAAGCCACATAAATGTATTTTTAGACATGGCATCAGTCTTTTAGAGCTTGCAACAGAGATTGAAAACATGAAATTGGACACCTTATTTCCCGTGGCTATGTAAAATTTATTTACACCCCAAATCATAATATAAATAAAAAGGAATCTTTCAGAAATGGAGGTCTTATTCTTCTTTTTGTTTAACTCAAAGAAGTTTTTGAAAGAAAAAACAAATTACAACAAAATGATGAGCTACTGATCCTCCAGTCTGCCCTCAAAAAGAAACTTTAACGAAAGACAATATTTTTCAACTGGCTTCTACAAATCCTCCAGAATGCAGTATCTGTATTTCTTAATAGGAATAATGATTGCTTTTATATAAAATTCTTTTTATATGAATCTCAGGATTTTTTTTAATTTTTAAGCTTGAACATAATACTTAGATATTCTCTAAACATGTGCATATATAAATTTTTTATTGTGTAAAAGAGAAATTAAGTCTCTAATGTCCTGTACAATACTTATTCATAAAAAAGAATAATCAAGTAAATCTTTTAATTTCAGTTATAATTGTGAAACAGTTGCTAATTATGGTGATCTTAGGTTGACATATACTAGTTTCAGATAACTGGCAAAGGAAAACTGTCTCTTGAAAACCTATTGATTTTAGACCTTTACCTATTATGAAAGGCAAGGATATATCCCTAATAGTCAGTAGGGAAAAGGAACAGTTTTCAGATAATCTAATTATGTTACTTTCAAAGCTGTAACTGTCAAAGGTTTTAACCCTCTTCTACAGCCATTTCTGGAAAAAAAACTGATTTGACTCTGAATGGCTTACAACTTTTAATGAGGTGGAACAAACTATTTTTATGGTTTATAATAACAATAAAAATGAATGTAGTTATATCTGCATTTGGTAACATTGCCATAAAAATCAGATTCCAGCAGCCTAGCTCCACACAAAGTAGGTTCCCTGTTCTTACTATTGGTATCTATTTCTTGGGACAAGGTTATACACACCTTACTACGTAGCAAACATTTTGTTTTAGGGTTCTCTCGCTGCCCAACTCCCTTCCTGGTTTTTCCTTCCTCAGCTATAAAATAGCTAGAAATAGTTTTTAAAAAATAAAGAGGTTGGGGGAGCCAAACCTCATTCTACCCGGGTAAAGTTATCAAGTATAATCCCTGTGCTGAGGAGGTTTTTGAAATAAAACCAAAAACAACGCAACAGACAAAATACCATCCTCAACTTTCAGGTCTAACAGTCACCGACGTGTAAATCAAACTTCAGGAGCTGTGGAAGAGGAACCCACGGTCCTTAAATGCTCCTAAGACTCCAATCTAAGTCCCGAAGGAGAGCGCAGCGAAGCTTACAGACGCCCGAGAGTGCAAAAAGTGGCCGCAGAGAAGAGGAACAAAATTGCCCTATTCGAGAAGACGTGTTTCTGCTCCATCAATTACGTTGATCCCAGGGTGCCAAGCCAAAAGGGGTAAGGGCGAAAGAAAACTGTTAAGTATGAGCTCTTAATGTGAAACCTAACCTGTCGGTTCTCTTAGGTATCAGATTTTGGAAGTGTCTGTAATGACAGCCAGGAAAGCAAATTAATGGCCAACGGCCCACTGGGTTTGAACACGAGCCTCCTGTTACCTTCTCACGGATCAAGTACACAACACACACGCACACGGAGGTGCTCCACGTGGAACTGCTCTGAAACCAAAACACACGCCCCGTCGCTATTCTCCACCTTGGCAGAAAGGGCCGAGGGACCTGCACCTTTCTGCACTGCCCTCGGATGAGGATTCATGAATGACTGCCCGCTGGCCAGTGCAGACGACAGACGCCGGCGGCGAGGAGAGAGAACCGCTCCAAACGGCATCCTCCCACACACTCACTCACGCCTAACACAAACCCCGTTAGCTTTCAAGGGCAGGAGAGAGAGAGGTGGTGGACAGGGGAGACGCTGCCACCCCAACGACGAAAGGGATCACAAAAACTAAATCGCCCTCTGGTTTCGCCACCGCTCAGCCGTGGCTCTAGGTCGGCAAATTCCCTAATAGCTCCAAGCTGTTCCGAATACTGTTTACAAAAGAAAGAGACATCTTGCAAGTGCTACTGACGAAAGTTCTGGCTGCCGTGCAGCGCAAAATAAAAACAGCACACACGATCTATTTCCAAATCTCGATGAACGACGCTAAAGCATCGAGCCCTTTCAAGCCCATAGCCGCCCCAGACGCTGCAGGTTTTGTAAGGAGAAAACCTGCTACCCCCAACCCGGGTCAGGCCCCTCCGTTTGGAGGTTAGGATTCCTCACGGCATCCGCGTCCCGGGCCAATGAACGCGTGTCCTCTGAAAAGGAGCCTCTCATTTCACGGACCCTGGGAAACGGCAAGATTCATTCGGCCCACGCCACAGAAAAACTATGAAAGGGGGACGGCCGAAGCCCAACAGCCCGGTTGGTGCCTTGAGTTTAGAACACGAGTGTTAAACGTACACACGCACCCAGCACCGCGAAAACCCCAGGCGCCTGGGGCCCTCTATGGGACCTGGGTCAGCATCCTTGCATCTGGCACAGCTAGGGGCTACTAGGCAAAGTAACAAAAGTAACAAGAAGGAAGCAGAGGAGACCCAGAGGCGCGCACCTCTGGGAGGCGGGAATAGAGTGCAGGTATGGAGCTGTGCGCCCCGTTCCGCGAGGGCTCCGCGAGGGACAAAAAGGCTCTGCAGGGACCCTCGGGGTGCCTGGGCGTCCTCCAGGGCAGAACGCACCAAGGCACTCCGAGCAGCCCGAGCCCCTTGGCTGGGGGTACTCAGCAACGGAGCGATCGCGGGGACCCCGGCGCCCACACACCTTCCCGCAGAGCGCACATCGCTCCTCGCCCCCGGCGCAGCCGTGCGCACTCTGCCGGCAGAGTTTGCGGGACCGCTGAAACGCGGGCCCCGGGACAGGGGGACGGAAGAAGAGGCACTCACCTCCTGCCGCCCAGACCGTCTCAGGATCCCAAAGTCCAAGTGTCTCCCCCAGCAACAGATCTGTGCGTCCGTATTTACGTATTTATTCTCTTTCCTTCCAGTGTTGAAGTTTCGCCTTCACGCTGTGCCTCTGGTGGAAAGAGGACATCCCCTTCGGCCACCCCCCCCCCCCCCAACAAATAGCGTACACCAGTGGGGGAGAGACTGGGCGGGGGAGAAGCGGCTACGAGGGGGAGGAGGAAAGGAGAGGAGCCAAAACTCCCGAAGGCGACGGGGTCAAAAAAAAAGAGAAGAAAAGAAAAAGAGAGCGCGCGCCCAGCCACCGCGGTCCTCACGGCCAGGCTTTTCTGCAGGCTCTCTCCCGCTCCGAAGCGGGAGCGCCAGCTTCACGCGGCCAGGCTGGAAGTTTTGCGCGGAAGCCGGGAGCGGCGGAGCGTGCGCCGCACGGCGGGCAGCCTCGCACTTGCGCGCGGGGCGGGGGCGGGGGACGCCGGCGCCCGCGGCCACTGGAGGCCGCCGGGGGCACCCCCCTCCCCCGGGGTCAGGCGGTGGCGGGGCGGCGGTACGCGGGAAAGCGACTCCTTTTTAGTCCACCTCGGGCGACGGCCTGTTGTCATCGCTCGCGATCCCGCGTGGGCACCGCTCGGGGGCCCTGGGCGTCCCCAGTGGCGCCGCGGTCATCTCCGCGCCCTCCGCGCCGCCCCCACCCCGCCCCCACTGGCCGGGCGCCGGCCGCAGCCACCTCCGGGCGGAGGGGAGGGACCCGCGGTCGCAGTCCCCTCCCCGGACCGGGGAACCGCAGCCCATGCCCACCTGCCTCTGCCCGGCAGCAACCCCCCCCCACCCCACCCCAGTTGTCTCTAACTCGGTCTCTACCCGATCCCCGGTGTCGACCACTTCGGGCGCCTCGCGGGACTCCTTTCCACTTACCCCCGGGAGGAGAGAGAAGGAACTTCGCCTACTTGCAACTACGTAAGGTAGCAAACACCCCACGTCGGACTGGGGAACTTTCTCTGAACGGAGGAAATACTCCTTTCGGTGAAGATGTATGCGAGGCACGAGGGGTGAGCAGCGTGGGGATAGGCTGCGTGCTGGGAAGGGCCTGGGCCCCCGCCCAGCGCTGGGCGCAGGTAGGCATCCCTCCCAGACGCCCAAAGGTCAGGCTGCGACGACCGACTTCCAAGACAGCGTCAGAGCCTCCCCAGGCACATTGCTGAAGTGACATTTCCTGCGTAAGCCTTCTGCGCATGCAAGATACACCCACGTAGGATCTAATATTCTATATGCACCCATGTGGAGATCACAGCCCGAGATCTGAGCAAAGTTGACAAGCAACAGTACATAAATTTTGCATCCATTTCATCACCTCTTCTGTAAAACCTATTGTCAAGGTTAGGAACATCTTTAGTTGTCACATTGATTAAAAGTGTTTTGATTTGTTGAGTATTTACTGAGTGGCAGTCTTTGCACTGGTCACTTAGGGTACATGTGAGTTCATATAATTTTCACATCTCTATGGTGGTTATTTAATCCTTTATAAAGATAAGGAAACTGAGGCCAAAAGAAACCCAAGGGATATTGCCAAAGATAAATCCAGTAGTCTCTATAAACACAAAGTCTATTATTCAACAAGCAGCCCTTCAAACTGCCTGAGCTATGACCCCAGAGCTTACAAGTAAACTGGTAGGAATGACACCCAAAAAAAATTTAGTTTCGATATATTATCAACCGAATTATATTTTGCACAAAGTTCAGGAAAAAATTTCACCCTCTGCTTCACTTGAGTCTTAAGCAATGGACACGGACACCATTGAGTTCAAAAGCAATCAACTTATTTTTTGATCAGTGGGGAATTATTTGCAATAATTAATAGTTAATGGGAAATGTGAGGTTGTAAATTTAAACTGATAAATGTACTCATTGCTGCACTCATCACTCACTGGGTGTTCTTTTCTGCAGATTTATTTTGGAGGGCTTAGGCACTGCCAGGCTTGTTTCCTTTTCTGGTTCTCAAGGTAGAAGGGCTTTTGGCAGTAGGTTTGGCTCAAAGGGGATTTGAACCATGATCTAGATAAGAGCACATTTGGGCCTGAAGAGGATACCAGCTCCTATACACTTAAGAGGGAAATATCCATGGGTAGATTCAATTAACTTGGCAAGTCTTAATTTCCTCATTTTACAGGTGAGGAAATAAGGACTCAGAATTTGTAGCAACTTCCTAATAAATGGCAGACGGAAGATTCAAACCAGCCTCTGTGTAACCGCAAAGGCCACTCCTAGCCACTGTCATGCTATTATTAGTAGTGGTAGTAGTGAGGAAAAATAGTAATTATTTTAGTACAGTTTATATGCTACAGGCAAAATATGCAATTTAAATGTTTTGTCAACCATTCACTGTCTAGGAATGCTCAGCAACTATAGTAATTATCATGTAAAAATTAAGTACAAGGCTGAATGTACTTGAATGTGGCCTTCTTGTAAGGCCACAGATTTTTACATTTCATTTTTGTATGAAACATTATGTGTTAGTTTGACCTCTAAATAAAAGTGAGAGGATGCATAATTTGGATAAAATAAAAATTCATACTTTAGTACAGCTTGTTCACACAGATACAGGTTTTTAGCATGTTGCTTTACTCACTCCTAAAATCATATTTTCAGCAACACTGATCTCGCTTTCAAGTTACTTTGCTCCCACATAATTTTTTATAATCTACTTAAGAATACATTTCACAGAAGTTACCATCCCTCAAAAAAACTAGAATTATATCACACTATTAGTTAACTTCTTATTAGTACTTTCAAATTCATTTATATATATTATATAGATGTCATCAAGAATAATATAAAATCTCACGTTTTTAGTCCACCTTTAAAATAAATTGAGCACAAGAGAATTAAGAATTTTAAAGTTGTATAGGCAAAAATATTGCATATTTAGATAAGGCATTATTTCCAGAATTTCTACTAAATATCACTTTTATAATTATTGCCATATCACCTTTAATACTGTTGACTCAATATTATTCTTTAAATAAGCTGTTTTTATTATATAATTATAATAATAAAGGAAATTTTTTGTCATTATCATAATTGGAAAATCAATATAATTTGCCATGAATAGGGGATGACCTTGCAAATGAGTCATTTTTACAGAAATAAAAATTACCTTGTATCACCTAAAATTTTCTGACACACCAGTTTGAGAAACACTGGTTTAAAGAATTACACTCCTTGTGTCCTTTGGGCTTTCTAAAACATATTTTCTAGCCTTCCTTTTCCATCACTGTAGAGAAATGTTGAGTCTGAATTTTTTTTTAGCTATTACATTTAAAATTATTGTATTAATAAATTATTTTCATGCCTAATATATACTTGAAGTATCTGAAATTGAAGTAGCTTTTGAAAATTAATTTAATTTTTATTATTTTTCTTACTATCTTACTTGTAAAATGCAAACAATTTACAAACCCACAACTAAAAACCAAATTACTTTCAAGGGAGATAATAGCAGTTACCTTCCACATCACCCCTCAACAATCTTAAAATTTAGCCACTTAAAAAGAAACTTTCCAGCTGAAGTGGCAGCATCTATTGGTGCAGTCTGGTACTGCACCGGGCAGAGTTCTAAAGGCAATGAGGAGGAGATGGATCACTGGGGAGAAGCTCAAACAGCCTGAAATGACATGCAGGGAGGAAAATTTTGAAGTCTGAAATCTGCTGGAAAAGTCCAGAAGTGATGCTGAAACACTAGAAGGTTTGATATGACATGAATCAGGAAATCAGAATATCCTTGAATGTATAACTTCATCTGAAAAAGGACATTTGTTGTGGGGGGAGAAAAATAAAGATGTCTTTACAGTGAAAACTGGTGGAAATAAAAGATTCACTTATTTATATTTTTATATACTTATAAAATACTTTTATATTACTTATAAAAGGACTTGCTAAAGTCCTTTAACCACCCCTCCTGCAGTTATCATCTATTATTTATTTTTAAAGTGTGCATGGCACTGTTCTGGCGTTGGTTTGTGAGTAAGTCAAATTAAAAAAAACAAAGCCCTCTAAGGTCTCATAGTCTAAAACTTTATTTTAATTTTAGTTTTATTTTAAAGTAACCTTAACGGGAAACCATTCCATCACTTTAGTAAGGATAAACGTTAAGCTGCTGCTGCTGCTAAGTCGCTTCAGTCGTGTCCGACTCTGTGCGACCCCATAGACAGCAGCCCACCAGACTCCTCCGTCCTTGGGATTCTCCAGGCAAGAACACTGGAGTGGGCTGCCATTTCCTTCTCCAGCATTAGGCTAGAAAATGGAATAAGACACTTACTGAACACAAGTTCATGTGCCAGATGCCAAACTAACTGAAATATCAGTTTGGAGTAGAGAAAGGTTTATTCCAGGGCCAAACAAGGAGAAGAGCCATGGTTTGGAATTCAGGAAAGGTCTTAGGAGACTGAATGAAGCCTAATTCCCACAAACAAGAAACAGGGAACACAGAAAGGATTTGTTCCTCAGAGGGCCCTACAGGGTCCTGCTTGCTTTCAATACTACATTCACCAAGAAAGAAGACAGAAGACTGGATGCTTGTAGAAATAATCCCAGAATAGATCTCTTAAATTACTCATTTTGGGTACATTTAAAGTCCAGCTGGAAGTATACACAATTCTTAAAAAATAAAGTCATTTGGTCATTGTCTCGTATTCTAAGCCAAATCCTTTGAGTTTTGGGAGAGTGAACTTTCCCCTGGTGGCTCAGCGGTAAAGAATCTGCCTGCCAATGCAGGAGACGAAGCAGACACAGGTTCTGTCCCTGGGTCAGGAAGATCCCCTGGAGAAGGAAATGGCAACCCACTCCAGTATTCTTGCCTAGAAAATCCCATGGACAGAGGAGCCTGGTAGGCTACTGTCTCTGGGGTCTCAAAAGAGTCCAATAAGCCTTAGCGACTAAACAACAACTATCATGAACTTGATTTAACACTGTTTTCTCTACTACTTTGCCAATAACAGAACAAATAAAGATAAAACATGATTGCCCAGAAGTCTAAAGTTCTGTGCTCCTGGTTTTCTAAAATCTATAAATAAACACACTTTCTGAGTAATTTTGTACAAACAGATCAAGCTTAAAAAGGTTTTCTACTGGTTTGTGAAAGTGAGGAAATCGGATCTGCAGGGGACCTGTTGGGTCATTCTCTTGTGCTGGGCTCTCTGCTAAACTTCCTCATTCTTGGCCGAGTCTCTAAAGAAAAGGAAACGCACACTCTCTGGGAGACAGCTTCGTTATATTTACTTTTCAGTTCTCTCTTGAAATTTTTTCTCAAGTCAAATCCTTTTAGTACTATATTATGCAATCCTACTCTATCTTTCATGTTTACACCCAACCTTCAGATGTTTATAAACAGATATCATGCCCACTTTTAGTCATCTGTTAGCCATGTTAAACAAATGTAAGGCCTTTTAATCTGGTTTCAGTTCAGTCTCTCCAAGCCCTTAATCATTCTTATTGCTTGTCTCTGAACTATTTCCAGTTTCCTAGATGTTCATTTTCATTAGACAAATCCCACACTGAATGAGTTATTACAGGTGTGGTCTCATTAACATAGCAGAATGAATCCTAC